TGGCGTCTGGTTCATGCTAGAATTGCTGCCTCCAGCCTGCGAAAGAGGCCCCGCCGAGGACGCTTTGCAAATACTAATGGGATAAACATAAGCATGTGTCACGGCCCAGGTGACGCAGGGCTGCTCTGGTCAGCTCTGGTCACTGCTGCCTCTGCCTACAGGATGTACGCTAGAGGGCTCGATTCAGGATTTGAAAATCAATGTTGCTAATTAAAAAATAACTCGAACTGAAAAACAAGTTCGGAAACAATTAAGATAATGAAAATATCACTACCATAATTGAGACCAAGCAGCAAACTTAAAAAATAAAATTAATTAAAAATAAAAAGCTTACATGAAGTCAGTAATTAACTGGCTTTTGAATTCAATGTTTTTCAGCTCAACAAATCTTTCTTAAAATTCATTCATTCTTCTTTTGTTTTCCTTTGAAAAAAGTTTTTTTGTACAATGTTATTTAAAACATGAAGTGATGGCGTGTCAGGGCCCAGGTGACACTGGGCTCATTTTTCAGGTATGGGCAGGAACGCAACATTAGCCTCCCATGGGGTTATTTTCTGTGCTAGGCATGTTATCCTGCTTAAGACCATGTCAATCTCCAGGAATCATGACCGAAGAGGTGCAGGGGACACAGGACTTTAGTGTCTTGCAGTGACTGTTGCTTCCTGTCACCAAGGGTGTGCTGGGGAGACACTGGGAGCATGGGCTCCAGAAGTCATTAGCCCTGGACAGGGAAGCTTCAGCCCCCTCCAGGGCTGTCACCAACTGCAGCTCTCTCCTACCTCCTCCCATGCACAAAGTCCCTGAACCTTTTTAACGGGCCTCTCAAATGCCACTTACTATTCAGTCCCTTATCGTTCGCTTTGGAAAGCGAGCCTCACAGCCCTGTCCAGGATGGTGCCAGGAGCCTTTCAGCAGTGTCACCAAGCCCCTTGGGGCCACTTGGAAAAGTGTATTTGGGAGGCCCATTGAAATGGAAACGATAGCCTCTCTGCTCCTGGTCCTCATCCCCTTTCAAGCCCAGTGTTGCTCTTTTCCCAAAACAAAATACATTCTGGTGATTCAATGAATGCTGGCAGCTTGCTTTGTTACTATTTTGCTATTCTATGAAGTCTGCTCACTCTAAATAATTTGCATATGTGTTTGAAGTTTTTAGAGCCTGGTAATTTTAATAGCCTATTTCTCTATGAAATTGTTAGTATGTCTATGGAGTGAAATAGCTGATGATTTTTATTAGTATTTTTGGTAGGAGTGTTTTTTTTTTTTTTTAAAGAAATATTAGCTTTAAGAATTGGAGGAAGGATGATCTTATGGTAGTTGTCCTGAGGGAAGTGTAATGGATGGAAAGTTTGCAGAAAGGAAATTGACCAGACCACCAGTCACTTGACTCATTTGGAGGGTGGCGGCCTTTGGATGAAGTCAGCAGAGGGTAGTCCAGGATGGGGTCCCTCGGTGTGGTGGAAGCACAGGGGCTGTGTGTGTGCTACATCAGGGCAGCCTCGTGAGACCCAGGTCAGCAGCACCAGGCTCCTGGCTGCCCCATACTTTTACCCCTCAAGTCTCATTGTGCCTGGAGTGTCTCTCAAGAACCTAGTGCATGTGCTGTACTTGGTGGGAGATAGTCAGCATTTTAAGAGACCTTTGATGCTGAGGGGTTTGGTTTCTGGTGTCAACTGAGTAGGTGTTAAACATCTTCCATACTGTTATTTGTAAAATGGGTATGTGAACAGCAGCTGCCTCCTTCGGTGGTTTTGAGAATTAAATATGTAATCCAATTAGAGGGCTCAGTTCACTGCCTGCTCGTCAGAAGCGCTGGGGTGAGTGTTAGCGATTGTCCTTGTCATTATGAAGCTTCATTCTCTCTGGGGACAAAATCCAAACACAAAAAATTAACAAACACTGATGAGCTACTTAACATGGTCCAGGTCTATGCTAAGCACTTACAAATATTAACTCATTCCTCATGACAAGGCTAAGCAATAGAAGGTACTGTTATTACACCCTCATCTTGCAGAAGAGGCAGCTGAAGTTCATGAAAGCTAGTCAGCAGCAGAGCCGACCTTCAGACGCAGGAACACTGGCCTGGAGTCTTCGCCCTCCCTGCCGCACTTGGCTGACTTGTCTTGAGATTGCACTGTTCACTGAGCCCTTCTGGGCTCAGTGTGGACTTTGCACATTTGTGAGATTGACTGCAGAATCCGAAAGCTAGAATGTGGCCAAAAGCTGGCCCGGTTGTGCTGCAGATTTTGATATTCCTTGGGCAGATCCACTCCGGTGAGAACCCCAGGGGTTCGGCGGCACTTGGCATCTGGCACGGAAATCTCTCCACTGGTGCCTGCGACTGGGGCTGCCAGTGGTGTGATCCCCAAGTTTCTTGAGAACCATGAGTGTCTTAATTCATCCTCTAGTGGCTGGAAGTGTGAGAAGAAGGGACAGCAGAGGACCAGCATGGTTGTTGATGGAGGACAAGAATAGAAAAACTGGAAGGAGATGCCATAAGACCATAAACCTGGCTCACACAATGCCAAGAGCTGGAGGTGGGGATAGGGGATTAGCATAGCCATTGACCCAGCTATAAAAAGGCCCCAAAGCCTAGATTACAAAGCATAAGATCCCAGCAGATATCATACTGCTGTAGGGAGTGTCTGGAGCACAGATCCAGAGGTAAAGAGTGAGCCCCTCCCAAAGAGAAGTCTGTCAGTGCAGTCTCTGCACAGGCGGGGACAGCACTCTCTTTGCCCACCTGTGCCTATGCAGGTGCTTCTTTTCACCAACTCTCTCCCTCCACAGGGCAGTAGTTTCCTGCCCGCCCATGACCTGCACCATGCCGGGGGCTTCTCATGGACCTCCCTCAGCAGAGGCCGCTCTCCTCAAGGTCCCCCGCCTGCAACCATGCAGGCCTCTCTCAGCAAACCTGTCCCTTTCCGGGCAGCTCTTCCTGCCCGCTTGTGTCTGTGCAAGTGTCCTTCATTCTTCTGTCCCATTCCCTAATAAACCTGTTTTTTAAAATATAACTGCCATCTCTGTCTCATGGAGACACTCTCCGGGGAAACTCGCCGCTGGAAGGGGAGCTCTGGTGACACCTTTCCCAGAGTGAACCCAAGGACCCTGCACTAGCTCCAAATCCATTAACTCCAGACACGGCATCATCGTCATCAGTGGTCATCTGGAAACTCTTCTTAACTGTTGTCTCATCTTGTTTGCATCTTGGCAAGTAAGTCAGGGTTGGCTGAACTGCCACCCTGGGGCCGGGAATGGAGAGCAGTTTACCCACCTGGTGCCACATCAGCCTCCTGGATTCTCAGGTGGGCACCCCTAGGAACTAAGAGATGACACCTGGCACTAGGAAGTTGTTGCTGAAAGTTTCTGGAAGACCCAGCCTCAGAGGACTCTGGGAGCCAACTCTTGCCTTGTAGAAGCAACCCTCAGCTACCGAATTGCTGGGAGTGAGCCCCTTGTCTCTGGGGCTCTAGTCAGCCTCTCCCTGGTCTTGCAGCCTGTTTCCCTCCACTCACCTCCAGACAGCAGGCCACATCTTTGTGGAGTGGGCTCTGCCTGGTGACCCCCCCAGGAACAGGACCCGTGTCTTGTTGCCGCCCCGATGAGCCGAAGAATACCCCCTGCTTTTTGTTTTATAGTTGCTGAAGCTGCTGCAGCTGGGGCAACTGCCCTAAGCTGTTCAAGCAGCAGAGATGGCACTGGATGTTACTTGCTCAGGCCCCTGGAGAAATTCTCGGCAGCCAATCTGACAAAAACAGTGTTGAGATTCTGGGGGTGGGGTGCTGAGAGTAATGATGACTGCAGAGGGATCGTGACAGTTGAGGGAACGGTGGCATTGGTGGCATTGGAGCACTGGAGTGGTTCTGCTGTCTCTGCCAGGATGCAATCTGTGTAACTGAACGTTTGCGTGTGGGGGTTGAAGAAGACTTGGGGAGACATCTCCTCCCTTGGCTTCAGAGAGCAGTTACGAAAGATTTACCACCTAATAGGCTTTGGGCCCCCTGAGCTGGGAGATGGCTTGGTTGCTTTTGTTTTGCAAAGAATTCCCCGAGGCCTCTCCCCTGCCTGAGAGCAAGTGCACCTCAGCCAGCTGAGTGCTGATTAGCCCAGAGCCTGCTGCTCGGCCTGCTCTAGGAATGGCTGTCTTTGGAGACCCTTTCTGAGCTACTTGGTTGAATCAGCTTCTGCCCCTTCTCATTATTCCCACCTACAAACCACACCGACTCCTCAGATGGAATATTTTAGGATTGCCCAGACTTGCCTCCCTCCCGGGGCGCGTGCCGGCCACCCTGCGTGGATGGCCTTTTCTGTCTGGGTTTTTTTGAAATCCTGCCCACACTTCAAGATCCAATTCACATATTAATGCTTCATTAATCCTTGCCCCAGAAACTGATCTCTCTTTTTCTCTGGAGCTGGCTTATCATTTTATATGCCCGTCATGGCCCTTATCTAATTCTGCCGTGCACAATAAATATGCATGTGTGAGCTTTCTTCCCTCCTTCCCTATTATATTGTAACTTTGCGTGGCTCCAAACTGTCTTGCGCATCCTGAAGTTCTTCACAAAACTTAAAATAGGCTTATTTATGCACATAGTTCGTGTTTGTTGAACTGAAGCCAAAAAAAAAAAAAAACTGTCCCCGAGGACTTTTTACGTTGTAGGAAATCAGTAAAATTAGGCATGGATGAAGTTGGAAAAAGCAATAGCGAGACAAATAACCAGACAGGGAAAAGCAGCTCTCGGTCCTCTGAGCATGTACGATGCTAAAGGATTTTTAAAGAGTAATCTGTACCCAAGATGAAGATGCTGCCGCTCCCCCAGGAGCCAAGCCAGCGCTGCTGAAGAACATGTATGCAGTAGACGCAGAATTCCAATCCCCACAAAGCCTCAGAAAGCAGCATGGGGTGCAAGCACAGGGTGTATTTATTTCCCACTCATTTATTAGAGAAGTAGAAATTCAGTTTCCCTGGAGGTCCTAATCCCCCTCTTTTTCTTTTTCTTCAGCCCTGGACCCATCCAAAGACCCCTGCCTGAAGGTGAAATGCAGCCCTCACAAGGTGTGTGTGACCCAGGACTACCAGACTGCCCTCTGTGTCAGCCGCAAGCACCTGCTCCCCAGGTAAGGCAGGAGGCAGGGAGGGCCACTCTCCAGCTGGCAGATCTGGGGAGCCCATCTCTGACGGAGGTGGGGGAGGGAGAGCAGATGCTTCTGTGGTTGTCATTTCGCATACTCTGGTGCCTGTGTTCCTGCTATGCTGTGAATCTTACTTCTCAAATGCAGATTCACAAAGAACTTCTATATCTTTATTTCCTTTAAATCTACTTTATTTGCCTCTGAGCACTCATCTGAGCAGATTAACAGGAAATCCCTTCTTGGTCATTATGGGGACCCGCCTCCTCCTGGGATGACCCCAGGATCCTGAAAGCTTGTAGCCAAGAAAACAGGACTGGATTTTTAATCTGTTGTCACTGACATTCTCGCCTCATGTGATAATCTTTTGGGGTCCATTGAGGTCTGGGGGCCCATTGCTTCCATGTCCATATAAGATATGGGTGTGCAGGGTGCCCTGGACTGGGGTTCCTCCCTCCTAAGACCCCCAACACCACCATTCCTTCTGAGAACATGACTTGTTCTTTCCAAAGAGGGGAGCACCTCTTGCCTCCAGCCCCCAACCCTGGGAGGGCTCCCCCTTTAGGGTCCTTAAGGCAATACCTCTTTCTCCTACCCACCCCAGCATTATCCTGTGGGCTCATACTTCTACAAATTTCAGAAACAGTCCTTGAATTCAGACTATATCTGCCTTCATTCCTGCAAAAAAATGCTCAGTGCACCAAAACAGGCATACATATACATAAAAATCCGGCTCACTTAGAGAATAGGGTTGGATGGGGTGTGGGGGGAAAGGCGATTTCTTCGCCTCTTCCACCCTTCTTCCTGTACTGGCGGTGCACTTGTGAAGCTTGGACTTGGGGGTTACACTCTCTGCTCTGGATTATACACCTTGATCTGTGGTCATCTGCACTGTACCTTGACCTTGGGCAAAGGAAGCCCCTTTCTAGAATTGAACTCCCACTGGAATCTGCCTCCTCACTGCTTTTGAATATTAGTCTGGGACCATGCAGGATGGGTCTTGTCCCATGCCTTAGTTCTTCCAGGTCTGAGCACTGCCAGTCACTGTGGCTGTTCCTCTTGGGATGTATTTTTGTTTTGTCAATCCCCTAGGTGGTTTCTTCTGAACAGGACTGGAAAGTCCACCCTCTGAAATCCTGGTCCACAAAGAAACAGTGACGGGTGGTGTGACTGCCCGAGCAGAGCCCCCATTCCCTCCATTTCTGCAAACATGGCACCTGCGGCAACACCTAACTTCTGTGGCCCTCTAAAAATAGGCAACCTTTGTCTCTGTGAGGTCAAGCTGTAAGGTATTAGAATGCACTTTCCCTTCCCAGACTAGAGTGTCCTCCTTAGAAGTAAAGGGATAGATCCACCCCTCCCCCCCCAAATCCTGGTAAGGTAGGATTGTGCTCATACCCCCATCTCTGAATTCTTCCAGCTCTTTTGTCAAGTTAGTATTTATTTTGTCTCCTTTCTAAAAATGAGGGAATAGAGGCAGAACGAGGCCTTATTGATTGCGTGTACATCTAGTACATTGCGCCATGATGTAAAGCCAGCTCACTCCAGGTCCACAGCTTACATTTTTCATCACAACCATATAATGGCCATGTCTATCCATTCATTCGTTGTCATGCAACATAAAGGTGTTGAGTACCTACTATGTGCCAGGCTTGGAGAGACATGGAAGCTACACAGGTAAACAAAGACATCCTTTTGCTACCCTTAAGGAAAACTGAGTTCACCTGGGAGTAAGATACCAAAAAAAAAATAATTTATCACTCAGAGTTTCTTTTGAGACCTACATGCCCTGAGAAAATTCTCCTGTCACATGTGATGTCTTCCTTCTCTAAAGAAGGGAAGATGTGGCTTGTCTGGCTGCAAATACCCGAAGACTTTTTGAGCTAGTTCCTTCCGTTATTCAGCTGTGGGAGAGTATGTCTGTTTGTCTGTCTGTATAAGTTGAAAAGTGCATTGCCTGTTCCTCCTAGAACACAACCTTTCATGCAAGTGCCAATCTAGAGACTTAGTTTTAAGCTCAAAACTGTTTGAGATAGAGGCATTACCCTCACCTACACTCAGGCACACCCAGGGGAAAAGGGCGCTATTCTGGGCATGAAATGTTTCTGTGTTGGAAGCACCAGCACTTTTTTTGCCTGTGTTGAAATGTAATCCTCATTGCCCCCTCATCTCCTGGTGACGACAGAATCTCAGTGACTAAAAGCGTGGATCCAAGAATGAGTCCCAGCTGAGCTCCATCCCCGGACTGGGAGATTCCCAGCTATGTAACTTTCCCCTTCTGAATATGTGCTGCTTCATCGTTTGTGTTCCATTGGTCATTGTGAAACCCATTTTACAGATGAAGAAGCACACATTCAGAAAGGTAAAGTAACTTGCCAAGGTTGCACACAGCTATCCACTTCTCTTGGCTTTGCTGGAGTGCATCCTTTCAGGATTCTTGCAGAGGGGGCTAATGGGTAGTAAATGTTGCTAGTCCTTGTATAGAGTGTTTAGAATAAGAGTTGCAAAAGATGATTGTGTGCAGTCTGTACCCAAGTGTCATGTGACAGCAAATCTTCCAATTACGGAAACAATTATAATAATAGTTATTATCAGTGTCTGAGTCATTCTGCTAGGTCAGGCAGGAAACCCCAAAGTTGCATGCTCTTGAGGTACATGTGCCTCACCCCACCCTACTCTGATGGTGGCTGCCTTTGCTGTTCATCCCCAGGAAGACCATGAGGTTCAGGGTGGGGATTACAGTGTTGTTTCTGCTGTCCTTGATTTACAGCAGGTGAGGACTTGTAGATGACTGCATTTCTGGTCGTAGGGCCCCATTCACATTGGAAAAACCACCCCATGAGGAGGCTTGACTGAGGTGGCGTGCCCACTGCCCTGTCAGGACTTGGAAGGTAGCCTGATCCACCAAGGACCCGCTGTGGTGTCCCTGTGGTTGTAAGGCCTGCCTCCTCCCTCTTGCTCTCAAGAGGCTGCATTATTCTGCCACATCAGCCCCATGCATACTTTTTCTTAGGGTCCTGGACATCTTCCCAGATGAAACATCTGTCCTTCCACATTCTACTTCAGGGGTCCCCTCTGACCAGGGAGACTGTTGACAACTCTGTTTATTCATCAATCAGAGAAGTAATTTCTCTCTCTGTGAAACATCTGTAGGCAATCCCGTCAGCCAGCCTGGCCTCTGCAGCAGCTCAAGAGGCAAATCCCGTCTGCCAGACAGTTGGGAGTGCACACATATGGGGAGGCGGCGGGGCCAGCCGGGCTGATTATGAGACTGCAGACTCAGGCTGTCTCTGCAAGCTGATCGAGGCAGGACAGTGAGCACATCAGCGAGAAAATTTCATTAGCTTTCCCTGCCCGCAGAGATTGAGCCGAGAAACTGTTTGACACACACATCTGTGACTGCACAGTGTTGGGGCGGATGAGCAAGCAATTTCAGGGGGCGCCAAGCGGGCTGACCAGCTCTCTCTGCTGGGATTCTTTGCCTTTATTAGGGGGGTAATTGGGTTTGGGTTACATTTGGTTTCATCTAGAGGCTTCAGCTCAACTCACATTCTCTTTGGTAATTCTTTGTTTCAGCTCTTCCTGCTAAGCTATATTGAGTGGGCTCAAAAGAGGGCACATTGTCAATCGTGTGCTCATCTTTCAGGTTCTCGGTCATCATGTGGACCCTAAAGAACAGTGTGAAAACAGCCTTGAGTCAGGAAACCTTCTGTTCAAAGATTTAAAAAAATTCTAATTTATTTGTGATATAGCAAGTTGATGTTTATTATAGAAAGTAGTGAAAAGTGAAAAGAATATGAAACAGGCAATAGTCAGTAACCTAAAAATAGTAATTGAAACCTCCCAGCACATTTCTTTTTTCTAATCATAGATTTTTTTTTTCCTTTTTTTTTCCTGTTGAAACTTAATGATCAAGTCGTGCCTGTCCTGTGCAAAAAATTTGTATTGAGCAATCTTGAATCAATATTTATAAGTGGGTATTTTTATGACACAAAAATTCTGTAGAGATAAAAATTTTAATGACTCTATAACATACTATGCAAAAAATTAACTTGAAATGGATCATAGACTTTAAAAGATAAGAACTTCTAGAGGAAAGCAAGAGTAGCAACACAGACACAGAAAACATGATCTATAAATGCCAAATAAAGATAAATCAATAAGTTGAATTGTAGAAAAAATTAAAAACCTTGATTTTTAAAAGACAGTTAATAAAAGATAAGCCACAGTGGAAAAAAATATTTGCAAAAACACATGTCCAACCATAGATCTGTGTCTAGAATATAATAAAAGCATCCATCCACACAAAGGCTCATCAGTGTTCATAGTAGCCTCATTTGTAATAACCAAAAGCCGGAAACAACCCACAGGGCCATCAACAGGTGGATAACAAACAATAGATTACAGTAGATTATGGCTCGGCAATAAAAAGGAATAAGCTATTGCTATATGTAAATGCACAATGGGTGAAAGAAGAGGGACCAAAAAAGAGAAAAGAATATATACAGCCTGATTTCCATTTACTTGAAGTTCTGGAGAATGCACACTAACGCATGGTGGCAGATCAGTGGTTGTCTCAGAGTGGGTCGATAGGGTGCCAGAGCATTCTTTAAGGCTTGGTAATGCAAAATGGATCCTTAGGGAAACAGTTAAGTCAGACGCTGGGTTGAGATGCAGAAGGTCCCACCCATCAATGGGTTTGCTTGGGGAAAACGAGCTTTATTTCAACAGTGTGCTATGCTTTGTTATGTAGGTTTTAAAAATGTCACCTTACGCTTTCTTTGAGAAAATGCCCTCTTAGGGGGGCAGAGGGAGGAACAGAAAGTAATGTAGCCTCCAGAGGGTGCCACTTTCAGGGCTCCATGCCACTTTGGACAGCGAGTTCTGATTTATTATTCTGGGTGGGCAGAAGGGGATGAGGAGGGGGGTGGATGTCTCCCTGCAGAACACTGAGCATTGATTTTACCTCTCTGTTGCCATTGATTTTC